AAAACCTGGGAGTACTGGACAGCTGTTTCGTCCTAGTTTAGGACTGTTCAGCAGTACGCATCCAACAGCTGTCCAGTACTCCCAGGTTTTCCAGTGGTTCTCTAACTGATGTCAGATCATGATTTAATCCTCCATGCAATCAAACAAAATCCCTACAAAACCAATACTTGAAAATTAATCTGTGCTCACTAGTGACTGGCCCTATTCAGGCAGTTAACCTGGGGTTCTAGTGGGAAGCCGTGACCAGTAGGATACAGCAGGTTGAAGATGAAGCAGTAACTCATCGAAGAAGACATTGCGAAGTGGTCGCGCTACGTCGTGAATTGGCAGAAGTTGGAATTCAAGGACCATTGGATCGGGTTCCAGTGGCTCAATGGTCTACGAGCTCGCCTTGTAACCAGAAGGTCCTGGGTTCGAATCCCGGTGGGTGCGTACTGATGAAGAGTCCTAAACTAAGACGAAACAAATGTTCAGTACTCCCAGGTTTTCCAGTGGTTCTCTAACTGATGTCAGCTCATGATTAAATCCTCCATATATTCAGGATGTGTTGCGCAAATAATACATGATTACATAATTTAGATAAATTACATCTTCTTGTTGCTTTGTCTTAATTCCTAAAATGAATTAATTTTTCAAATAGAAAACATAGTTTCTGTAATTACTGGAAATATCATGTCTAGTTTTTGTAAAAAAAACGGAATCTAACTTGGAACGGTTAATTGTTATTTATTCATCTTTCTCTAAGGTTATTACTAACTTCAAATCAATCGATCTGGTCATTAAGCTTTCAGTGTCCGCCTGAGTGATATCGACGAAACAGCCTTCAAATGATATTGCTCACAAATCAATGTCTTACACAAGGCGCTTACTAGAGTGAATTGCTCGTAGTGACTGGATCGCAAGGTTCAAACTACAATTTACATGTATGCCATCTAATCCAATGACAGCTAATCCTCTCTGCAATAATGAGCAATAACCAACATCATCCACCTTCCACGTATCATTTTTTTTAAATTTTACATTCTCTGCTTCACATAATGTCATCAATGAATACTCCTGGAGATCTAGAAGGCGAGAAGAAAAATGTCTTCTAGACTTTCCATTTTAAGTTCATTCATACTCATGTTATATTTGAAGCCGTGCACTACTGAATAACAAACTGATCAAACTAAACAATTCACATTAATATATGTGAAAAAATTGGGAATTATGGTAGAAAGTAATTCTATTTTAGTTTGTTCTTTAAATGTGTCACACAGTCTGTGAAACAGTATTATTGTTCACTGGATGACACAGTTTCGAACAAAATTTATTGTTCATAATCATTTCATCAATTATAATCACACGACTTTGAAACTTGAGTTCTATAGTTTTCTTTGTTCTCTCCTAATCGTCGTAGGGGGTGGGTGGGTAGTAGAATTTTCCAGATATCTGGGACAGGTGTTGAATCATTCCTATTACATGTATTTGCAGTTGATTCGATAAACAAAGCTTCTGTTATCAATTTCTCCCTCCACCATGTGACATTAGATTTTAAAACTGTCATCTTATCCCATCCAGCCTATTGTATGGTTGTGTGTAACTGCATGTAGTACTATAGCTGAACTATTCTCTAGATTTCTTATCTTATTTGGGTCAACCAATCTAGATTTTGCTGCTGGGTTTTTATGTTCGGCTAGTCTCACTGCCTCTGTTCTACTAATTTGACCTATGTATTTGACCTCACAATCATTGCAGGGTATTAGATAAAATAGACTGTTTTGTTTTAAAGGCTCCAAAGGATTTATCCTTAAAACGAACTAGCTTGTTTCTAATTGAGTTTGTGGGTGGTTTGAATGCCACTTTTATTCCTACCTTGTTAAGAAGTCTGCAAAAGGTTTCCGAGGTTACTTCCTTGTATGGAATTACTACTGGTGATTTAGATTCCTTATTGTTGGTGTCGTCATTAATATTACTATTATTCTTATCACTATTATTATTATTATTATTATCACTATCACTACTGTCATTATTTATTTTATTTTTACTTTTCACTACATACTCCCTGACCAATTTATCAGGGTAATTATTAAGTTTCAAGTCTTCTCTTATATGTACCACTTCCTGTCTTAGATTTTCTTTGGTACTACTTAGATTTAGTGCTCTGTCACTTAAACACTTCACCAATCCTATTTTTACTGATATAGGATGGAATGATCGGAAGTCCAAATATCAGTTAGAATGTTTGGGTTTCCTGTAAACACTAGTGTGTGTTTAACTTCCCATCTTCACTCCTTTTCACGCTACAGTCTAACATTGGAAGCTCCCCCTCCTTCCTGACTTCCCAATTCATAAGTGAATTGAATTGCTTCTACCTTCGAGTTGATTTGTTCGAAAAATATATCTATATCTTGTGTTCTGAGTACAAGGAATGTGTCATCTACATACCTCCATCCTACTTTTGGGGTGGGGGCGAACGTTTCAATCGCTATCTTTCCCATGAATATATCTGCTACAACCAGGAATATTAGTGATCCCATGACAACTCCCTCAGTTTGTTTGTATATTTTCCCTTGGAATTTAAATACTGTGGGATTCAGACACTCTTAACTTCATACCCAGCATTTTGTCCTCAAGTGGCACTTTCCTCCTAAATTCCAGTTCTTGGTCAGAAATGAGTTCGTTTCTAACTGCCTCTATAGCCATATTTATTGGTATACAACAAATAGGAGAGGACAAAGGAAACTACAAAACTCAAGTTATAAAGTCGTGTGATTACAATTGATATGATTATGAACAATAAATTTTGTTCGAAACTGTGTCATCCAGTAAATCCTAATACTGTTTCACCGTGTGATACATCTAATAAACAAACTAATATGGAATTAAGCAGTTCACAATTTTTCGTAAATATGTTAACGTTTCTTAAACAAATTTGCCCTTCTTTCAAACCTTCTTATTGGTCAGTAAATCTTCTTCATATCATTAATAGTAATCAACAAGACAAAAAACTTTGCATGAAACTATATACTACTGAATAATTGGGATAAGTAGTTGGATAAGACGGATCAATCAATCTGTAGTTCTTGATAGCCAGATCGAGACAACCTGAATAATTTAATTTCCAAGGAAAACTACAAGTGAAATTCCAACCGTCAAACTAAAGCCGTTAAAAGAAGATGCTAATCGATTTGCTAATTTTTAATCTTTATTTAATTTAGTTTGGTAACACAAATTGGCCCAGGTTTTATGATTATAATTCCTTTGGGTTCTAAGTAGAACATATGGCTTCAAATGTCCTGCTTTCCAGTTTAACTGAGCCCACAATCGCCAATAACCTCTCGTGTCCTCCTACTTCTCACACGATCTCATCTATGCCAACCTCACACTGACAAACCACTCGTCGTTTCCCATTCGGATTCCATTAAAGCGATGACCTGTATTGCGCGCGATGCTGTTCAACAGTGTCATCAGCGTATGCCTAACCCATCTGCATTTTCTCTTATATATTTTTGGAGTGATTAGCTCTCGCGTGTTGGTTTTTTTCCAGTCAGAGTTTATTTATTATTGCTAATTCTTTCTCACTGGCCAGCTATTTGATCCTAACTATGGAGTCAGAGAAGGCGGCAGCTGTTGATGAACATCTGTAACTTGTTGGAAATGCTTTTCGTGACAGGCATGGTACGTTTCTGTCCCGTATGGAAGAATTTAGTTCACATTCCAATAAGTTGTCAGTCAAAAATCAGGCGATTTGAACTGGCTCAGCTCTATGGGCTGAAGCATAACGCGTACACGACTGTTGCCATGAGTCTAAAGGAACCAAATGGATGTCCAGCGTTTTTAGACTCCCTTGATATGGCTATCAGTTACTACTAGTGGTTAATATGAGTGATAGGCAACTTCTGATCTCAACCAATCAGTAATATGTAGTTTTATGAAGAAATGAATATCTCCTCCGCAGTTGAACTTTGTGTTACTTTCTCCACGAAACCAGTGATTCGTATGGACGTGAAGCTAATACCGCTGGCTTCATCACTGTGTATCCGTTAGTTTACTCTCTGTTTGAGGGTTAGCTAAGTTGTCTGTATTTAACGTTTGTTATCCAAACGTGTTATCGATCAATTGCTATCATGGTTTTACACAGAAGATAAAAAATATCCCCTCTGTTCTGCTTCAAAACACCTAAAGGATCCTGAAAGCTCAGCGAACTCGAAAAGCAACTTCAAAGTCACCTACAATATACGCAGAAACCCTATAAAACTACAGAGAATCAAACTTCTTCAAACTGTAGAAGACATGCTAATCTTCATAATATATCCTCAAACTCTGTGGTCTTTTCAATCACTGAACCTACAATAAAGCCCATTTTCAGGATTATATAATTCATCGAAATCTGATCTCTAACTACCTTGGAAAGAATGAATCAGTTAAAAAGAGGAGCGAGAGTCTATTCAAAAATTAAGGCTGGAAATAAAATGACCATGAAAGACACTATTGAAGATGTCGGTAAACACCAAACGACGAAATATCCCCTAATAAATAATATTAAATAAAGCACAGAGAACAAATCGTCCTTTACAATATTGACGTAGGTAAAAAACAACACCAAGTTTACACTTTCATAAACCTCATAAAACAACTTCATTCTTGTTCATTGATCGAAAATTTCACACAGAAACATCAAGTGAATAGAAACACTGGACAAAAGCATTGAAAACAATTTACTGATTCAAATAATAATAATAACGATATGATGAACAAACATTCTGCATTTCAAAGTTTTCAGGGTTCATACTTTAGAAATCATAGAAGTTGCATAACAAAATTCTGTATGCATTTTTTTCAAGTAATAGTCACATAAAATGCAGTTTATTACGACAAATAAAAGTCAACAAGTCAACTGGCTCGGAATGAAGAATTGTGTATGGGGGTTGCCAGAAAATTTACTTTAAATACGTTCGCCTACTTATAAGTAATTAAATAGTAAAAATTGTTGCATAAAAAGCACAAAATATTGACCCTCAATTTGCCCAATCTACTAGTGCTTTGATACTATCGTCTTCCACCCGGTTATTCACTACAATTAAAAAAATATCACATGGGATATAAGTTAAAGGTGGGACACAATGTCTTTATTGTGATTGAAGCTCTTCGTAGAGCCTGAAAATAAAAGGATTTGTAAAAGTGTTACCTGGGAGTGAATAACTTCCTCTGCATGTGTGTGCATCTTGGTTCAGGTGGTATACTGACAAATGAATAATACGTAGTACTCTGTTTCGAAACATCATGTGACGCAGATTTTTCATTTCTTATCAAACCCTGACTTATAATACCGTGGATAAATTGGTTCCTCAAAAGACTGTACAAAGGTTTTGCTGAGAAGGTTCAGAAAATTATTTGGATAGTAAATATTCTTTGAGAAACATGTGATAACAGTTCATTGACTGGAAGATACGTGATTAGCCTTGAGTTCAGCAATGGCCTTACGAAGTAACTGATTGATTCAAAGCTCAATATAGGAAAAAACATTATGAAGACGTGATCTAAGATGTGAGAGTGTGTTTACATCCCACTCCGACATAGGCTCAATGATAAAGTGTTTGTAAACCACTGACGTATTCAGTGTGACTAAATTGCATAAACCACTAAACTAATCACCACCCTGACTGACTTCAAGTGTCCTATTTTAGTGATGATATACGGTTAGGAAGGGAAAACGCATAACAACCATTCTGACTCCAAGATATCAACGAAAACCACATATGAAACACTAATTTTCAGTCTAATTATCAAAGACTTTGCAGGATCTCACTGTCCATAAGATTTAAAAGTGAAACTATGCGACGTATTGTCACGCACAGGAATGACAGAAATTAAAAAAGAACTGTCTCTTTAAAAGTGCATAAGAAAGGACTTATTTTACATGAATAGTGATGCTTGCATTTCAATTTAGTAGGCAGCTATTAGAAAAGGGCTAGATATGAAGAATATCCTTACGGAAAACATCAAATTCTGTAAGAAAGTGACTTAGTAGTTTCCCTGCTAAATCAATTTACTAAATTTAATTATGCTTCCAAGAATCAGCGATGTAGTAGTAGTAGTAGTAGTGTACAGATAGCTGTCTGCTAGGCAAAATCGTAGATATCCATTGAAATCAATGTTTACGTCCCAAATCGGGTTCATGAGAAACAAACAAGAGCAATGCCTGACCTTGAGAAACTCAACAACCAATCACAGCACACTCAGCATGGGCGGATACGATGTGCAGAAATATGACCGAACTGTCTAAGAAACGACCATACAGAGATGCCAGAGTAACCTTCAGCAGGAAAACAAACAATCAGAAGATGTTACCTCTCTGCTAACAATAACGAATAATAATGTACATAAAAATCTATAAATATCTGTTGAATTTCTCAATAAACGATCTGTTGCGTGACCCTTGTCTTCTGTCGTTACATTAGTTGTAGCGTCACATGTACTACTGACAAGATTATGAAAGTACTATATTGTATATGCTGTCTTTTGCAAGAATACTGGATTACGTAGTGGTCGGTTAGGTTGTAAAGAGGTGGGAAATGAAAGAACCTTGTGAAATGGTGCAGAAAGAATGAAGTAATGACAAAAATGAGACAAAAACGAAGAATATTTGCAAACATAGATTTTAATGTAAGATAAATATATGGCATTTTGCTATGACAGCACATCATTCACGAAGTAAACTTTCTGCTATTGAATACTACAGAGTTTCACTGTCACCTGTATTTTTTATTTTTTTATTTTTAGTTTTTGAGTACTGCTTGATTCCACACTGTATTTTTGGTACAAGTATGGAATTTTCAGCGTGGATATCGGTAGCCCAAAACTCGCAGGCCGACCATAGATATCAGGTGTGCGTTGGCGTGGGCTCGAACCCCGGACCATGTGCATGGTCGGCGAGAGTCCTAACCACTGTACCACCGACGCACATGTCTTTAATCTTGTGTCCCATCTTGCAAGCTTTTTAACATTCGTTGATCACTAGTGTGAACTTGAGACCCATTAACTGTCACGTTATTTCCAAAAGTTGATTCATGTCCACACATCAGGCTGAAATCATTAACTGTAGTTGGTGAGAGATAGCAGTAGGGTTGAATTCTATAAAGTAGAAAGTGAGCAGGCAAGTTCTTGAATATTCGTCTAAGTTTGTCAACACACGCTTCAGCTGGTTTGTCAAAATTATTGCTAAAGCCAGTGGGTTTCTATCTGCGCTAATTGGTGGGTTCTGCTGTGCCTCCTGTCTGACTGAGTGGCTGTCACAATCTAAAGTCAACCGCTTAGTAACCTTCTCTGACTATATTTCTGCTACCGCTTCACACGAATTGCCGTAGGCAGCTTTCACCCGACCTCTCAACAGCATCCTAGATGGTGCATCAAAACATGGCAGCAGAACACGGCGATATGTAGGAGCAGAAGGTTGACTAAATAGAATGATGGTAATAGATGGCTGGAGGAGGTCAGCAGGAAGCCTTCCCTGGTCTGTGTTTCGTGCTAGCTGAAATTCACCAATCACCAAGGCGTATCTGCAACACTGAAGGAACTCATGTCCCTTCTAAGGAGATTCACACTGGCGTCACCCAATGAGCACTGCAGTCAGAGAAGTTGTCAATAAGCTATTTGGAATCGCGACTACTGATCTCTTGTAGGACTGTATTGGATATTTTTGAATGGACACCACTCGGTGACTAGTGTAATGTGCATAGACCTTTATTTGGTGTAGAATGAATTCTATCAGTCAAGTTTTTAATGGCCGATGCGGGTTCCAATCTCAGAAGGCACATGAGTTCCTTCAGGACTGCACATACGCCACCTTACTGACTCTACTGGTGAGTACCAACTAGCACAAAACCTAGGTCAGGCAAGTCTTCCTGCTGATTGCCTCCAACCATCTAATACCAACAATCCACAGTGCACTGCAATGGTGAGCCACCTAGCATGGTGGCCACATTGCAAACGTGACTGATCGAATTCAGTCTTTACCCAAAGATAGCACTAGGCACACACACACACATTACGCTGATTATTGACAAGTGTCTAATCAAAAAACGAATGATGGGAAAATACACAAACCTAAAATTAAAATCTCCGCTTGCATGTGCTCTTCGTTTTGTGTTTCATGCTCTTTACATTGTTTTAAAAGAATCTTTCATTTCTTCGCCCTGTTAGTCAATATTCTTGCAAAAGATAGAACATTTAGAGTCTTTTCAGTAGCACACGCTATAGTGGAATCAGTGGTAGTAGTAGTAGTAGTAGTAGTAGTAGTAGTAGTAGTAGTAGTAGTAGTAGTAGTAGTAGTAGTAGTAGTAGTAGTAGTAGTAGTATTGGAATACTTTGCAGTCTGCAGTCCCGTACACAAACTGTTCAGACCGAAATTTGACGGCTTCTTAAAAGGCGAATCTGTCCTAATTCATATATTATCATCATTATTCACAATTTTTGGTTTCATAGGGTCTTCAAAATATTCCAAGACATATTTAATCACGAACCAATGTCACTTAGAAAGAGTTTTTGGCAATTGATGAAGAGTCTGAAGATAGGACGAAATATCTATGCAGTGCTGATTGATTTCCAATGCTTCCTTAACTATTGCTGAATATGATCATTCTTATTACTATTATTCCTTTGGGTTCAAAGTGGAACACAGGGTTTCAACAATACATCTACACTTCGTTCTATTTTCTGATGTCCTCCTCAGTGGGTAAAAGATTACCCACAATCTTTCATCCTCTCCTCCCCACACGATCTTCTCCATGTCACTCTCATACCGACGACGAACTTGTCTATCCCCATTGGGATTCCACTAGAGCAATGGCCTGCATCGCGCGCCCTGTCATTCGACAGCCTCCCCGTCCATCTCTATTTTCTCCAACATATTTTTTGAGCGATCGGCTCTCGCCTGTTGTTTTTTCCCACAATTTTTTGTTACTTATTCTTTCTGGCTATTTGATATTCAGCCTGAAGCCAATGAAGGTGGCAGCTGTTGATAAAAGTCTGCATCAGCCTGTTGGATATTCTTTTTGTGTGACGCGCGGTGCAAGTTTCTGATGCGTATAGAGGAACTGATTGACTTACTTCACTTTTATGTTAAAAATCTGAGCCTTGTTCTTGACATTGACTGAGTGTAGAAGATTTCCAAACTGGTTTCACGCTGATGAAGACGTAGTTCGCTTTAACATTTCTACTGATTTGCTTGTCTACTTCATATGAAGCTACTTTAAGAGTTAAATCTATACTAATTAATAAACTGTCTTCTAATCCATATCATCAATACATCTACTCAGATTTTGATTTTCCTGGAGATTTAGGACATTTTCAGTAAGCAAGTGTTGTCACAAATCCAAATACCTCAAAGTTGTACACTGTGAGGAGTCCCAAAGTAGGATAAAACAGCAGCTGTTCACTGCTCTTTTGTGTTCAATCATTGCCTAGTAAATGTACTTTATGAAGAGATTTACATTTGACTGTAGTACTTATTATTATTATTATTATTATTATTATTATTATTATTATTATTATTATTATTATGAACGATAGTTTAAATGACTAGTTGATTGAGTAGACTGCCTGATACACATATTTATAGTCATTATTTCATTAATTCATTCATACTACTTATTTGGATAACAGTAGTATTCTAATGCGACACCATTTTAATTACCATTAAAATTCCTTTTAAAGTTATTCTTTGAATTGGAATAAAAAGAAAAGATCAAGTGTGCACAATTATCATTTTATCTTTATGCTTAGCAATATATAGCATAAAAGGTATTCCACGGTACGCGTAGATATATCGCTCATGTGACTCGGGTTTTATTATTGTTGAAAACTATGCGAGATTATAAATCAGACATTGATATATCCAAGATCTTCAAAACTGAATCACCTGACATCAGTGAAAATCTTTTCAGAATATTTTCCTTGCTGATATTTCTATCCTTATTGATTTTGTTTTACTTCTTCACGTTCCCAGTGGAATGTAGAGCTACAAGATAAAGGCAACTTGAAGTTTTTAATGATGTAAACAATTATTATTATTTC